GCTGCTGGCCGGCCGCGGCGGTGAGTGCGTGGAGGGGCCGGGGGCCAGGGGCCGGAGCCGGGGCGGGGAGCCGGAGCGAGGGGGAACGGCCGGGCCGCGGCGGGGCCGGGGCGGTGCGTGCGGCCGGGGGCCGGCGGGTGGTGCGCCGGAAAGTTGGCGGGGCTCGAGGGCCTGCGGAGGGGCCGGGGGTCCGCGCCGCGCCTTCCCCGGCCCGGGGAGCTCCCCACGTGTCGCCGCGAGCCTGAGAGCTGCCGGTGGAGCGGAGGAGCCGAGCGCCCATCTCCTGCCTCAGCCTCCGGCCGGCTGGGAAAGGAGGGCAAGAGAGAGCGGTCGGTATTTTGCATTGCAAATCTGCGAGCGCCAGCGCGATCCGCGCGAGGCTTGTTTTCCTTTCGGTGAAGGAGAGCGTACCCCTCCGTGGCTTGGGTTTGCTTTTTCAACAAACAGCCGTGGCTGAAGGGTTTCGCGGTGTCCAGCATGGTGTGAGGAATGCTCTGATGTTTAGGAAAGAGCGCAAACACGAGCTGGGACTTCGGCACCTTGTGTTATGGAGCGTAGGGATGTTTGGATGGGTCTTAACTTTGTGGGTTGTAATGCCTTTAAATTGATGAGATTTTCTCTTTTGTTTCTGTACGGGCGTTCTGAGAGTTGCGCTTGTTTTTTCTGATTGCTTCTGAAAGTGAGGTTGGGAAAGGTCGCCGTCAGCTCCTTGTGAGTAAGCAGAGGTGTCTGCGTGTGCTCACAACGCCTGTGCCTTCATACATCATAGAATCATCATAGAATCATTGGAGTCGGAAGGCACCACTAAGGGCCATCCATTCCAACCCCTTGCAGTGTACAGGGACGCCCACAGCTCCAGCAGTGCTCACAGCTCTGTCCAACCTGACTTCGTGCAGGGATGCAGCACCACCACCTCTCGGGGCAACCTGTGCTACTGCTTCACTGCCCTTATTGTGGCACAGGTTGTGACAGCCATCAGGGCTGCCAGCAAGAGTCCCATTCCTAGAGACAAAGGTCCTCTCCAGACCACTTTGCACACCTTCACTGCACACTGATTGTGTGGCAAAAGCAAAATTCAGACCTCTTCTAAACAGAGTGTGGCACATGTTCTTTCTGATGAGTGGTGTGTTCCCGTCCCATGCTTTGTTCTCCTTGGGTCCAGATTTCCTGCTGATGTAAAAGGGAGCTCCAGCCCTTGGGGAAGGCAGTAGAGGCTGCACAGATCCTTGATGCAGATAGATTTGCCTGCACTTTGCTGAGACTTCCCAAAGTGCCAAGTCCTCACCCGACACTGCCAGCTTCTGTCAGGGCTGCCTGTTTCCTAGAATCAGATAATCACAGCACAGCTTGGGTTGGAAGGGACCTCAAAGCCCCTCCAGTTCCAACCCTTGCCATGGGCTGGCTGCTTCCCACCAGCTCAGGCTGCCCAGGTTCCATCCAACCTGGCCTTTGGCACCTCCAGGGATGGGGCACACATTAAGTTTCAATTCAGAAGCGTGTCTCGTGTTATCTGTCATTGGGGTTAGTTTAAAATTAATCCAAGAGTCGGAGTTTGGCGCAGTCAGTGCAGCACCCTGCTGCTGTGCACAACCAGGAGTGGCAGCCAGAAAGGTGGTATTTCTAGCAGCGCTGCTGAATCTGCCTCCTCATCGTCCGGACCCAGGGCACTGGATTTTCTTGGAGTCACAGTTTCAGCTGTGCAGTGTGTGTCGTTGCTAGGTAGGAAACAGAAAGATGCTTTTTGATTTAGTGGTTTAAGATTTTCCCCTCTAAAAATTTGTGATTTTAAGATGGCTTGGTATCGGGTCGCATCACCCTTCCCACTCCCCTGCCCATTGGTGTGGCAGGGGTAGCGGGCTCAGCCTCTGCTTCTGGAGCAGCATTCAGTAGAACAAGGCAGTGGTATCCAGAGCAGAGCCAGGTTTGCCTCGACAGCACACAGAGCTGACCTGCAGCTTGCTCATGACCTTGGTGTTGGTGAGAGCAATGGCAGCATGAAGCACTGGAGCTCACAGACCTCACTGGGGTGCGGTGGGACAGGAGTGATTACAGCTGCTGTAAGGACATCCAGTTCAGCAGTCCCAGGTTTGAATCACCCTTTTGAGAATGTTTGTTTTTCATGCTCCTGTTTTTCTTGGTCGGTCTCCTTCCCCTTGGTTGCCATCTCTGTGCCAACTGTGCCGTGCCCTGGGTTCGGAGAAGCACTGCTATTGGGAGTCATGGATGAGCTGTTTGCTGGGGTGCCAAAGCCCCTCTTGCACCTACCCACAAGAAGCAGGCTGGAGCTCTTTGTGCAGTGCAGGTAACCACAGTGAGCTGCTGGCAGGGCTGCCTGCAGTGTGTGGCCCAGAGGGCAGAGCATGAGGTCCGCTCTCTGTTCTGGTGGCTGCCGTTGCTTCTCTCTGTGACTCAACCTCTTCATGTCTCATTTGGCCAGGTCTCTAAAATGAGGCCTCCTTTTTAAGCCACTTGGAGATCTCCTGATGCTAAATGATGTGTAACAACAAAGTGCTATAACATTATAATGTTTATATGAAGGGCATTCCAAAGGCCCTTATGCTAGGGCGTTCCAAAATGTATAAAGCACAAATGAAGAAGAAATTCGAGTTTGCAAAGTTCGTCCCAGCTGGGGTGCCTCTTTCTCTCTTTGAGGCCGTGCAGATCCCTGGCTGTGCTCTGACATCAAGGAAGTCGTGCTGGTAAATAAGAGATCTCAGTGCTGCTTCCAATTCTCTACCCATCTCTGCCATCCTTGCAGAAAGAGCCAGAGTATGAGCTATCCTTGTGTTCCTATTTTATTCTGTATGTTCATCGTTCTGACTCCTTAGATGCCACTTATATAGAGAGGTGTAAGCGTAGAAAACAGTCCTTTACTAAGTGAGACCATCCATCAAACTGTGATGACTTGGTATTTCAGGGGAGGCACCTGAGTTGAGTCCTTCACCAGGTTGCTGTCACAGTCAGAAGAAATAACAGGCACCGGTCAGGGTTTTTTTTTTTCTTTCTCTCTGCGTGTTTTTGGCAGGGCAGCAAGTAAAAGCGCGGGCTGAATCTGCAGCCCTTACTCATGGGGATAGGCACATCCGAGCAACCGGAGTTGCCTGCATGATTCAAACATGGAAGATCTGGGTTGCTTTTAAGGCTTGTTTTAACTTGACAGGCAGGATGTACTCAGAGCGGTGAAGCACAGCCTCCCAGGTGCGTTTTGACCAGCTGTGATACTTGCTGTGGATCCAGGGCTCAAGCTCTTTCTATGGGTTGCCCAGCTCTTCTGGAAGGCTGTGCAGGACTGGGAACATCTGTCTCACAATGATGTGCTTACTGCAAGCATCCATGCGATCCCATTCCCACAAGCAGGGGAAGCTAGGAGCAGATGCCCCAGCGTGTTCCTTTCCTGCCTCTGCACTGGCTGGAAAAGCTTTCAAGACTAGAAGGAACGGTTTAGGCTGTTCCCTTCTGATCTCTTTGCCTCGAAGGGCATTTCCCTACATATCTCTTCACTGCCAAAATAGCATTGAAGAACCTTGGTGTGACATCCTGGTCATGTAGCTGGGAATTAAGTGAAAACTCCCTGGTTTCATTTGACTGTTTTGGTTTGTACAAACCAAGAAACCCAAACCAAACTTTAGAGGTCATGCAATGAAAGCACAAGAGCAGTTGTTTTCCTCACCTCTTCAGTGAATCGGGGACTGCGTGAGAGTAATCCTAGCCCAGATGTAATGCTGTAATCGCTGGACCCCTGGATATGGGAATTTACCCTCATAAACTAAGGAGAGGCGTCAGGCCAGAGTGTGGTATGTGACCTCTTTGGCAGGGAGCTTGTTTGGCCTTGCAGGAAATGACTTGTTCATTTATTTAGTTCTCGTTCAAGGTCCTGCACCAATGGATGACAGGAAAGGAAGGCTCCTATGCAGCCAGCTACAACTCAGGGAACAGCAGGGCTGGCACGTGGCAGTGTGTGGAAGGGAGGCATGGGGGGCACGCTTAATGACGGGCTCGACTTCCAGTGTGTGCCTGTAGAGCAGGGCTTATATGCCAGACTGATGTTGGGCTTGCTTCAGGGTCTTGCCAAAGCTGTGATTGCGAGGTAAATGCCACGGGGCTGTGGTTCTCAAGATGTGGATGCAGGGTGATGAGGAACAGGCGGTTTACTGCTTGGAGCAGGGTGTGAAGGCAGAAGGTGGCTGGCCTCCCAGCTGTTCCTAAACACAGTGAGTGCAAGGTTGACACCGTGAATAGCAGAAAAGCTCAACAACAGCTGAAGTTTCTTTGGTGTCTATAAAGAGAAGGTAGGCTGGGGGCTCCGTGTCTGCCTGTGCTGCTCTGACTGCAGACAGTCCTGCTCTGTGCTGCTTGCAGCTGCTCTTTCCCTTGGAGCCTCTTTTTGTGTGGGGTCACATACCAGCCCAGGGTAGTCTTCTGCAAAATCTGCTCAATAAAATGTCTTGCAGTGGGATTTAACAAGCCAGGACTCAGTGGAAGAATCCTTGGGTTGTGCTTCTGGTCTGAACGGCATGGCTTCTGGTAAGGCTTTTTTTTTTCTCTAAGCCCTTCATAGTAGATCCCTAGTTCTGTTGATCCTAAGTGGCCCTTAATGTTGAGAAGTCTGATGGACTCTGTCCATTTTTGGTCAAAGACTGACAAAAGGAAGGACTCGGTTAGACCTGTCATGCATCTATCGGAATTTGCTCTATCAAATAGTGTTATCTTGCTCTTTGTATCCGCTGTAGTTTCCACGGAAATAAATGGGAGGTGTTACTTTTGGAGCGACTTACATATATGGGAGACAGTTGGTCTGTGGCTTCCTGGGGTTCAAGAGGTACATCAGTCAGAAAAGAATGGTTATGGAGAGCGTGCCCCACCTGATAAATGAGAAGTGCTCCCCCACCGTATTCTTATCTCTAAATTGGAGACACGGTTTGAAGGCTGGACTGTTTCACAGAGGGTTGTGGTCAATGGCTCTACGTCTGGGTTGAGGCCAGTGAGGGGTGGTGTGTCCCCTTGGGGTCCATCTAAGGAC